AATAAAAATAAAAAAATAAAACTCATTCAACATCACGGTATGTTTGAAATTTTTCATAATAAAATGTTGGGAAGTTATCCAGTGCTATATCAGAAGGAAACACTGAGTGCACAGCAATTCTGAGGACTGTCACAGGGACTGTGGAATTCCTTCCAGTGTACCCTCTGCCCTCCCCTTGGCCATCAACCTCCTCTCTGGCACAGACCCTGGCCCACATGGCCTCCCTCTTCCTCTGCGCTTTCATTACCATGCCCTCACCCCCTGGGCAAAGGTGAACAGAAAAACAAAACAGGGTACTCAGCTATTGAGCAGATCTTCGTGAAGACTCAACCTTACAATGCTGTCATGGCAAACTGTCAGGGTACGTACTTTTCCGCACCTTGGCAAAAGCTTGACTATTTAAACACACACACACACACACACCAAAAGAAACCCAACCTAATTGCAATAACTAATATAAGTTGCTTAATATTTCAGATTTAAAATTATAGGAGAGATCGTCATCTCAAGGCATGAAAAAAAATGATCAGTATTTGCCTATTTCCATTGCTCATGGAGAAAGAGCTTAATATTGGTTGAGCCCTCGGTATGGGTTTTGCATACATTGGCTCACAGAGTCCTCACAGCCCCATTATCCTCTATTTATAACAATGCTCATAGTCATGGAGCCAGTAAACAGTAGATCTAGGACTCAAACCAAGATCTCCTCAGCTCAAAACTATTTTTCACCAAAGCACACTGTCATGGACATTTAAAATGGGCTATGTCCTGCAATGCTCCATAGAACTAACAACACTACAAGGGCAGCAGTGGTCATTTGGCTAGGATTCTACAAATAAAGGCAGTTTCATGTTCTACTTCAACTGTTTTTACCCAAACACCACCCACCAAAAGGTATTTTTAAGTTTACACCCCCACCAGTGTTGTTGACAAATGTAGTAAGAACACAAAATTTTGCAAACTTTTCCATAGCTTTGGGGGAAGTTCAGGGTTTTAATAAATCCGCTTAACGGAAGGGAATTTACTTTTGATGTCACAGTGTTGCTAGTTCATAAATTAGAATTAGATGGCTCAGTTACTCCCTAATGATCTTCTACATCATGCTTAGACCATCGGACGAAAATTCTTACCCAATGGAATAATGGAACCTTTCCTCCACGTTAAGCCAGATTCCTAAACTACAGAAACTGTATAGTCATCACCCAGTAGATGGCACTAATTGTGCTACTGTTTTTATTCCTTTCCAGTCCCGGGACCTAGGTCAGAGGTCTTCATCTCCTACTAGGGTTATAAATATTTGAAACAGAAGACTAGTCCCCATAGCAATCAAATAATGCCTTGCATATTACTTGTGGGAAATATTTAGCTGGCTGTGTACGGAACAAAATTGAGAACTGTAAGTGGTGGGCTCTAGTAGGCATTCCTAGGAAAGTTTATCATGCCTCTAACCCCACTACTATTTTTCATTTGGGCCAGCCTCTCTCCACATAATAAAGTAGGGAACTGAGGAAAGCTCTGGGGGTAGAAGGTAGAAGATGCTATAAACATGTATTTGCTGATAAGCAATAATAAAATCTATTTTCAAAAAAGTTTAGTAGAAACCTAGGGTGAAAAAGCTTTTTACTTTGATACAGGCCCAAATGAAGTTAGGCGACTCCATTATAGATGATCTGATCTTAATAGTGACATAATTTGAATAATTCTATTTGAACTTAATTCAAAACACAACAGAGGTCACATCAAGAGGCCATACTCACTTGAGATTACCCTGCTTTACTCAATTCTGCTCTTTGGAGGCATATGCTCCTCCCTATTTTTCCATGTTTTGCAAACCAGAACTTTGGTATATTCAAGCCTCACAGAGATAAAAGAAACTATATGCCCTCCAAAACAGTTATTTCCGTGTTGGGAGAGATATCAAGGGCAGGACACAAAAATCTTCAGGGCCATTACTTCAAGTGTAGCTCTACCAGACCTACACCTATAAATCCTCCTTCTGATAGAGCAGAGAAGCAACTCATATCTCTAACAAGTTCCTGGGGGACATCTCCTATCAGTGGCTTATAAATATACCACTGTGTCAGTTTCACTCAACATACATTATCTGGATAAGAAACTGAACTAATGCTTCATTCAAGATTTTGATGGAGAAAAATAGAAAATTTGACTTCCGGTTGGAAATATTAAAAAAAAATTTCTGAAAAAATGCAAGTGCTTCAGTGTAGATTGTAAGAACATGTCATGCTGAGGACTGTGGTGTGAAAGTGGCCTCTCAAGACTCCTGGGGTCTCTCGCAGCCTTGGATTGACATGGTCCTAAAACTTGGGGAGCCACACTAGTTTTGGGTTACTTACCAAGGCCTTTCAAAAGGCTTAAATGTCTACTAGTCAAACTTGTTAAAATGTTCATTCTGCTGCATCACATTAATTATCTCATAGTAGTAAAGAGCCCTTAGGAACATCTTTGGGTCTAATGTTCTTAATGAGAAAAGTGCTAAGTAGATGGCTTATTAGGGACAGCCTGTGGACTTGGTTTTCTCTAGTCTGTTTCTTAGTTTGTGATCTGTGCTTTGAGAAACATCATTAGACCCTTTTAGCCCAGAAACCTGGAGTGATGTGGTTAGAGTATTTGGACACAAAGTCTGGTATATCCCTCATAAAGCAAAGGAATTGGGAGAAAAGTTGAATATGCCTGGAAAGTAAAATGTTTTCCTAAGCTTCTCTCTCAGGACCTAACAACATACCATTCACAACAGTGCTATTTTCCAAAGGTCACAATTAGATTTCCTCAGAAGCATACCTTAACTGTTAATCATTACAACGACTTCATGAAATGTGGGAGTGTTGCATTACCCTAACATTTAATCATTGGCTGAAGCCTGGTTTTCACCACAGTCAAGTACATCTGCCTTTACCCCTCACATAACCAACCCCCTTTTCTACCAGAAATGTGAAGACTCTCATCAGATGGGAAATTAAACAAAGAAAAGGCAAAACAGATTTTTATAAAAGCCATCATAGGGCAAGTAATCCCCAGAAGCAGCCTAGAGGCAAAACAGACTGACGCTGGGGAAGCACTCCATGTTGATACTGCTTTCCCATGGTTTCCAAGGTTTGTTGTCTGGAGAACCTTTCCAAATACATGAAAGAAAAGGATCTTAAGAGTCACGGGAGCCTAAAGTTGCTTGGAGCAAACAGTGATTACTTTCATAACAGAAAAGGGAAGTCATTTCAGTAACTGGAATGCCAGATCTATGTAAACTTAAAATTGCCATTGTGTTTTCAGACTGATGTAGAACACAGCCAGCGTGGACCTCTGAGAACACTTTGTAGGGCCAGGTAACCAGCTTCCTCCTTTACACGTTCTCATAATTACAACTTTTTTTTTTTTTTTTTTTTTACTAACCTCACATCTATTTGTTCTCAGCATCATCCCTTTGGCATTATTACTCAACCCAGCAAATGAAACATTCTTTTAAAATGTTAAATAATAAAAAATACAAGTGACAAGGATTCAGTACTACAAATATTCAGGGCATCAAGTTAAACTGTCCTCAAAGTTAAAGCAGATTACTAAAAAAAAAAAAAAAATACAGGAACAAAGCAAAAAAGACGTGGTATATATAGGAAAACCTGTGTAAATGCCTTTGGGAAAGCACAGTGCAACCCTTCACTATTACACATCCTCCTCTGGCCTTAGGAGGTTCATCTTCCCATCTCTGTCTTGTAGCCACTACCCAAAAACCTGGCTAATGAGACTTCAAACCACTTCAGAACTGTTTTGGAGAAATGAAATGGGATCCAATTCTAGTAGGCATGTATTTCTATACTAAATGGTTTTTGTTTTTGGTAGGTGTTTAGACATTTAAAAATTCACAGGTGAAAGCACCAGGAAAGAGGAAGGTAGAAAACTTTCTTCCTCTTCTTGATGAGTACCGTCCAAGCAGACTGGTAGGGCAAATATTCATTATGAACTGTAATTCACTTTGCTTTGGTTTTGGAGGCTTCCCTTAAGAAAAAAGAGATTTGTTAATAAATGATAACACAGAACAACAAGATTAAATTATTGAGGCAAATGTCAATTACAAAAGTAACAGCTTAGATCGTTCTCTATTTAATCTCAATATGTTAAAGGGTAACAGTATTTCCACACCTAACGCTGCATTTTTTTCTATTCTTGAGGTATGATTAGACGACAAACATTTGACTGCCTATTATGTGCCGGAAATCATCCTAATCACTTACATGGAAAATCTTCAGTAATTCTCTAAAGGGATAATATTACTTACTTGTTTTTATAGTTGTGGAACTTAAGGCTTATAGAGGTTTTATGCGTAATAATTTGTCCAACATCACAGGTGAGGAGATAATGGGTCAGGACTGGAAGCTCGGCTATCCCTACCTGATAGTTTACTTTTCTGAAACTCCAAAATTCTTTCTTTTAAAATCATCTTTAACACCATATTCTCCCACAAATAACTAACAGTATTATTGCTCCTACCTCTACTTAGATTTAAATAAAAATTTATATGCTAATTTTTAGTAATTTTTTTTACTCCAAACATCTGTAATTTTGCATCTTAAAAAAATATTAGTCACAAAGCCAAATCCACTATAATCATGAGTTAAGAAGAAAAGAAAAACGTCTTTCTAGAATATATAAACCCCAGTTACCAAAGTACTATGAACCATGAATAAGCTCCTTGAGATTACTCATCACCTACCCCTTAACTCTCCACTATGTCTAATATACAGTGTGTCATGGAAATTTGTTAGATACACTGAATTGAAGCAAATGAATATTCTGGCACCAACCTTCATATTCAAAGGCTTTGGAGTTTTTAGAAAACCGAGTCTACTTAAATTATTTTGTGATTTAAGGTAGGGACAAAAAGCGACAAAATATAGAGCTAAGCAGTCGCCAGGTTGAAGTAATCATTACAACTACAGTAAAATTTACTGGCTCTCCATTGTAAAGCATTGAAAGAGCAAAAATAAGGGAGGTCCGTTAATATTAATGCAAGTTTTATTCGAGATAATATTGAAGAACTGAATTCTAACAAGGAAAAATTTACCAGTTATCCACTCTATAGTAAAAAGTGGAACTGGGGACCATTTATAACACATAAATAAATTCTACCTTTACATTTCTGAATAAAGCTGTATTCACTTCTCAGAGAGAGTCATTTAACTTTTGCTGATAAGGCTTTGTGAATTGTATTCAGAAACTCTGACAATACTCACATATACACACTCTTCAAATAAGGTAAGTACCTAGGATTTTCACTCCAGGATGAGTTTCTACAAGTACCTAGGACACTCTAACTTAAGACTGCATATTTCTACATGAATTCAATTTGAATTGCCTTCATCTTTATGTACAATTTTTTAAAATAATTAGATCAATGTTTATTGACTTTTTAACTCCCTCAAATTATACTTTAATATTTGACATGGTAGTTTCAAAAAATAAATATTCAAGGCCTCAGTTTTAAATTTCCCTTCAGTGTAAATGCACAAAGTTGACAACAAATATTAATAGGACTACCCTAAAATAAATGCAGCTTTCTTATAAAAATTACTTGTTATAATACAGTTCCCATTCTATTCCATAATTCTGATAAAGAATATGTTCTTTTGGTAATAAAACAAGAGTTTAGAATGATTCAGTCCTTGGAAAATCTTAATGGCAATCACTCAATGAAGAAGTCAATCATTCCTGGAGTCACAAACACTCAAAACCTGCTGTAATCATTGACTGAGTTTTTGTGGGGGTTTTTTGGTGGCTATTGCTTTAGTTGGCAATACCTGAATTTAAGACAAAAGAACATCTCCCACTAAGCCTTATTTTAAATATTACAAAATGTATATGGAAGATAGACTCATAGAGGCTATAATGCTGATGTCTTAAGTAACTCACCCATGAAATGGGTGCGTGTATTTTAGAGGATAACTGTAGAATTTTTTCTCTAAAAATAAATGCCCCTACTTTTCAGAGTGTTCCCATTCTTCAAATTCTTCAACAGGAGACTTGAGCAGCTTAACAGTTTTGCTATAAAAACAAACCACTCTTGTTAACAAACCCAAAACATAAAAGGAAACCGATAAAGGACATAGTTTTCACAGTTAATGATAAATAAAAGTGCAGTAAGTGTTCAAGTAGGGCGCGTAGTTTAAGAACTACATGTGAGTATTTGGCATAGGTCATCTTTTAAAGGCTCTCCGAGGGTCCCTGCCATTACTTATTGTGGTCATGACTGTTTGATTATTAGCTGTTCCTTGTAGCTGTGGATTTGTAGGTCCCCGGCCATTGCTTCTACCAGCATATGAAAACTGGCATCCCCTTGATTCTGGGCCAGTTTGAACCCCGTTTCCTAAAAAAGAGTATAAAAATTCATCACCATTTTCAGACACTGATCTGTAGGAATACACCTATTTGGAGTTCTAACACATGCTTAAAAGTAGTATTAGAGAAAACAAATGCCTTTATTTTTAAACTACTGGAAAAAACTCAATGAGGGTTCTGCGTTTTTCCAAATGTTATGATTACTGTACATATATTAACTTGATGCTGTATTAATATGGAAGGAGATATAGAACAGTTTGGGCAACAGAATGAGAAATTAGTAAAGAAAAACATAGATAATGCATTGCCTACATTGCAAGGGACAAAGAAAAAAAGAAAGGGTAAAATCGTGTATGAACACTGGCATTAGGTTCAAATATGGTTAATAATTCAAAATGGACAATGTAATTCTAATTTTTCAAAGGAAAAGACAGCAGTTTCCCATAATGTGATCATCACCAGCTGTGCCAAAACATGCAGCCACCAGGTCAAATAAAACTTCAGCCACCCTACTAAACTCCAATCTCAAAGCTTTTCCTCCATTATTTAAGAATAAAAACTTCAAAAGATTCAGCTGATAGAACCATTAACATGACATTTGAGAGTATTTGAAGGGTAAAGGCCAATCTTTTAAAGAGGCAGCTATCAGCATGTGAAAATTTAAGGTGAGCTATTAGTCTAAAGATAAAAGGCTTTTTTGGTGTGCCAAAATAACCAGTAATTCTGCATCTTTTATAAATAATCACTAGATGACAGAAATTTTGTTAAAAAAAAAAAAAATCAATGGAAAACCTACTCCACATCACTAAAACAGATTTCTTATTATCAGCCACTGTTTAAATATAGAATGTGCTCCGGGAGGTGGGTGGGGGAATGGGTGAAATGGGTGATGGGGATTAACAGTACACTTATCTTGGTGAGCATGGACTAATACATGGAACTATACTGTATATGTGACACTAATAAAACACTCTGTTAACTACACTGGAATTTAAATTAAACAGATAAATACATGTGTATAAAAATGAGAAGAATGTGCTCAATAAGTTAGCTTAAGAGAGTATCTGCTATTTAGAAAATCAGTTACTTGGGAATTCCCTGTTTACTAATAACAGCTCCCTTTTAGTGCTAATGTATGCCTAAAGACAGTTTTCTTCTAAATCTTTCATAAGATATATTCACTTAATTCTTAACACCTGATCAGAAATATGCAAAAAAAAAAAAAATCTTACCCACTGGTCCAAATGTACCTGTACCCATATTATTATTCATGGAATTATTCTTCTGTTCATTGTGTGCCTAAAAAATATGTTTTTAATTTAACCAATTGAAGATTAAAAAAAACATTATTATAACATGTTATATCCATTCTTTGTTTTTTTTAAAAAATTTTTAAAAGATTTATCCAAGTCCATTCAATGTTACTATTCAGGAATGTTTCCCAAACCTTTCATAGCTTCTGTTATATCTTACTGTGTTTTCCTGATATTACTCCCTACTCCTCAAAGTGCTCAATGGCACATATATTTAATATATAACACTAAAGATATATAACAGACTCAGAATATACAGGATGTAAATGACTTTATATTCTTTTTAAAACTGTCCTCATTATCCTCCGGGTATGACAGGGTTGGATACCCAGCTAAAGAATTATAGTGCCCACTCAAAATTAGCCTAATCATAAAAACAGACTATACATTTGGATTAATTACCCCTCTGCTCTGTTGTCCTCGATAATCTGGGTTGGGTTCACTGAAATTTGGCACTTCTGAATAAACCATACAAAATCTGAAAGAAAATAAAGCGCAAGTTAAATGACTCCTAAAACAATCAGCCTTTTTTTATATAACATGCGTAACTTAGAGGAATGAAGAATTTAGGTGTCAAATGAATTAACTAAAAAGCAAGATGCTATTTATACAACAAAAACTTCCTAAATGCTATGTTCCATAAAAACAAAGAATTCTAAGATATTCAACAGCCTACAATGTATAAAACATTCTATTTTTTATTTTAGTTCTTCTGTATTGCAAAAACAAATCATGTCAAAGATCAAGGACACAGAAACACATCTCTGTGCTGTTTTTCCAACAAGCTGATGCCACTGGACCATGTTTAGGGTTCCAGAGTGGTTTTTCCAGCAGTGGTGATGGATTTGCACTGATCCATTCACACACTCCCATCCAGGCCCTCTTTTGACCAATCACTGTGAATCTGCAAAGATAATCATTCAAGGTTAAGAGTGGATTTCTTAGGTATGTATAAAGACATGTTGCTGTTAAGACAACAGTTTATCCCAATGCTTCTTGTAAGTTGACTATGGCATACATTAGTATTACACATAAGCATTTACTTAGCTCCTCACCCCATAAATAAATTAAAATCAGTTTTGGTATATCTTAGACTGACCCTGACAAAGCCAAGTCACTACGAATTGAGTGACCTCCAGTGGTTCTTCACATAACTGACCTCTTTTTCTGTATACATGCAGGTCAGGAAAAAATCCTTAATCTTTTGATGATATTGACGCTAAGAGCTTTCGTAACATGCTGCTCTACTACTACTCTAAAAACAAACATAAGTAAATAATTTTCTTCCTAGCAAAAGCAAAGTGTTACCAGTTTCTGATCTTTAAAAGCTAGCAAGATTATCTTTTCCAAAAAAGAATTTTATCCCTGCGGTGTAGAAGAACATCCCCCCCCCTTTTTTTTTGTGGTGCCATGTGTGGCTTCTCTCTCTTCAAATAGCCTCCAATTTGATGGGCATTAAGTAGATGTCTAAACATTAACCGAACAGAATGGACTAATGATTTGGCTCATTGCCAACACAATACTTTGTGAAGATATCCCAAATGTCTAGGCTACTATGGAGGCTGAATTACCTTTACACCCCTAGAGAGGATGGTTCCTCCAAGTCAGGGTGGAGATTACCAGGGTAGTAGTGTATGGAAGCTCGCATTGTGGCTGCCTCTACGGCACCTAGACTGTGGATAAATACAGGACTTCAATGGTCATTGCTGCAAGTCCTTTTACCATGAGTACATATTCACCCATCAACAAAAAAAGAAAATTTAAACTGTTGGCCTGAAACCTGGCTTCTTACCTAGCTTCTCTGGCAATTCACTAGAAGACAGAACCTATTTAAAATGGCACTCTGACACCTGAAAGATGCATGTTCCCAAAGCCTACAGAAATGGCCCCAATGGGGCTCATCTCAAGTGCAACTTCATGCTCTTCACCAGGGAAAACTGACATTCTCAACCACAGGAATCAGTACAGATGGCTGTTAAACTGGTACATACGTGTAAAGTTGTTTTTACAGTGAAGCTGTTGAAGGCATTCAGTTCACCAGTCCAGAAAAGCCAAGAAGTTTATAGTTTATACATACCAGTTATTCTGTAGATATTACATGTAATTTATTCAATTATAGGAAATGCACTTTAATACTTACTCCCCAATTTTTTGAAGTTCTCCACCCCTTCCAGTATACAGTGTCAAACACCCTTTCCACATGGATGCGTACCTAGAAAGAAAAGAAACATCCGTTCTGTAGAAATACGTGTATTTCCTACTTAAGTAAAACTTTACACTGTGCTTTTTGTATTGGGATACAGGTGGAGATCAAACTCTGTGAATACAGTAGTAAATCAAATACAATCAATCTAATTTTGAGTAACTTATTACTTACAAAGGAACAGTACAAAGAAAACTCTACTGCCAAATTTTGACATGATTACCTAAACTATAACTAACCCTAGAAAATAGAAAGTCTTTTTGCAAAGCAAGCATTGTTATACTCCAAAAATCATATCTCTAGTCAATTAACAAAAGAACTTTCAATTGAAGAAATTCAGGCAGAAATTATTTTTCAATCACAGAATATATAAAATCAACACCAAGTGTTTACTTTTATACCCATTTACTTGGTCTACTCAGATTATCAATATAAGTTTTCCCTTTGCCTTCATAAAACACAGGATTCACAAGCTACTGAAAATTTGGTAAAATTTAATCAAGGGCCTAAAAAAAACAATCACAAATCTCACCTATCTGCCTTTCCAAACCTGCAATTTTTAGCATCAACTTGGCTGAACAGATTATTTACTCTGACCAACTCAATGTAGACAGCATCATTAAATAGTGCTACACAAAAATCTAATAAAAATGTAAATTAAACATTGTTAAAATCAGTCCAAGGTTTGGTTTTTAGTGGTTCTCTATACAACTACTATGGTAACTTTAGACTTAGAATGATAAATTACAGGGACGCCTGGGTGGCTTAGTCGGTTAAGCGTCTGCCTTCAGCTCAGGTCATGATCCCAGGGTTCTGGGATCGAGTCCCAAGTTCCCCATTGGGCTCCTTGCTCAGTGGGGAGCCTGCTTCTCCCTCTACCAGCCACCGCCCCTGCTTGTGAGCTCTGACAAATGAAGAAAACCTTAAAAAAAAAAAAATGAGGGGGGCCTGGGTGGCTCAGTAGTTGAGCGTCTGCCTTCGGCTTGGGTCATGATCCCGGGATCCTGGGATCAAGCCCCGCGTTGGGCTCCCTGCTCCGCGCGAAGCCTGCTTCTCCCTCTCCTCCTGCTTGTGTTCCCGTTCTCACTGTCTCTCTAATAAATAAATAAAATATTTTTTAAAAAATGATAAATCATAACTAAATATTGTTAACTAAGTACAGTTATAGTTCATTTTTTAACATAGGTTAATAAATACTAGTTAGTTCCACATTATACAGTCCTCGTTAGTAAGGGTAATTCATTAAAGACTCCAGCACTCTTACGCTATACGCTAAGCAGAAGAAAAATGGTGCGCTAATATTTCACCTTAGTAACGCAAAAGTTAATGCATGTTGAGAAAAAATTTGTAGTTACAACACATAAACATTTAACCTGTACTTGTTTCAGGAATGAGATCAACAATAGCAGCGTTTTCTGATAAACTTATCAATATTCAAATTACCATTATTTAGATGTACACCTTTCTTCAAAAACTACTTTTCTTAGATACAACCAGAACTGAAGGGCCTTACAATAGGCCAGACTCCGCTAGATATGTTATTTCAGTAAGTAAGGTATAATTATTCCCATTTTACAGAAGAGGAAGTTACAGAAGTATAAAAACCTCAAGGTCACACTGAAGTTACAAAATGGTGGAGTTTCTTTAGTTTTGAATTTTCCTTTAAATTATATTCCTTGAAATTCTATAAATCCTATATGGATCTTGATTTTAGTTTTTCCACAAATTTTTTGATGGACATACCTATATATTTTCCATTGACTACAAAATATGAAATATTTGAAATGAGATGCTGTTTACACTGTATAAAATACTTTTAATCACTGGATGAGAAATACTTTGGCAGCCAAAAAAACTTTAATTATGCTAATCCTCAACACACCCTCATAGGCAGGAATTTTCTTTGGTGTAAGCTACAGATGTGGAAGTTTGAAAGACACAATTAGTGTCATAATGAGTCACTGCATGAGAATAAAATGTCTATGTTCTGACTCTCACTTCCTTCTTTGATGATACTCTCTGCCTCACTTCCTGAAAATGTTGTAAGGCCTGGAAGGTATTATCAAAGGGCTCTAAATAACCTCCTCCATTCAGGGTGATCCAATACTTCTCCGAGATTCTATTTACTATGCCAACATCAATATCCACCCACTTTTCCTATAGTTGTGACCAATAAATTATTACAATTCTATTGACCACAGAACTTCCAAAATCCATCTCAGGACCCTTTTCTGGCCTTTCATCTTCCTAATTTAAACACTTGGTAAAATTTTAAAGGCAGTTGAATTACCAACCAAAAAAAAGGGTTGTGCTAAATTATTTCTAAAAGCCAATCTGCCAAATGACTCTTTTGGATGGGAGGTATCTTAGACATCTTCCTGCCAAATATTTTCTGCATTATCATTCTGGTTTTTGTACTACACTGACCTTAGAGCAGTAGGCCCAGGAAATTATTTTCCAGGATGTGCCTTCCAGATATTCTAAACTTCCCTTAACTTTCACATTCAAGTACAAATTTGACATACCACAAAAACTGCTAAATTGTCCAACTACAATCTTATGTCCTGTCTAAATAAAATACTGGCAGGATTTGAAAAGGGGGAAAGGTTGGAAAAGAACTGACAACTGTATTAAATAATTTATGAAAAAAATAAATAGTATGGACTATGCTAATTTTATCAATCTACAAAAAACACTCAGTAATCCCAAAACAGTACAATCTACCTAACCTGTAAACTGAGGGGGAGTGGGTTAGATTCCCCGGTGAAACTGACCGCTTTTTCTGGCAAGGGTATTATATCCCAAAGCTGTCCACTGTCCAAAATTAACACCCAAGGGGCTCAAAACTCCTTGGAGGCCCACAGAAAAAGATACGGAACTCCAGAACTTGCCAAGGTTCCCCAGCCAATGATTCTGCAGTCTGTTACTTAGGAAGCCTTCTCCCTCCTCCCCCTTTGGTGCACACCTACCCTCTGGTCAACCGAATAATATCCCCTGGCTGTATAAGACCTCCGATTTCATCCCACACGGAAATAGTGATGCTGCCCGTTTTATCTGCTACTTTGCATGATCTCACTTCATGGCCGTCTTTGGTTTTGGTCACGCGTCCTGTAAAGATTTAAAAATCACAAGGGGGGGGGAAGAGTATTAATGAGGACTTCCAGAAAGGCTCTAACTCCTCCTCCGGGATCATAACGCAGTGGAAAGGTGGAAAGAGGTCGAGCCCCGGGTTTTCGCCGCAGGTCGTATCCGAGCCCCGGAGGGGGCCACCGGGGCCACGTGGAAGGGGGGAGGGGAGGGGGAAACGAAGAGGAGGAGGAGGGGAGCCCCAGGCTTGCAGCGGCGGCGCCCTTCCCTCCTGCCCCAGAACGCAAGGGGGCAGAGGGGTGGGCTGCAGACCCCACTTACCTATCTCCAGGACAATAAAGACGACATTTAAGTTTTTCAGTCCGGGCTTAATATCTTTTATAAAAAGAGGTGGGTCGTTGACCCCATTCATATTGAGGCAGGTGCGGCTACGGATGCGAAGACGCGAGTGGGCAGGGAGTGGGACAAAGGCTCCCACCCTCCCGGGCAAGGGCGAGGGCGCAGGGGAGACTCTGGGCGGGGGTGGCGAAGAGAACGGGCAGAAAGCGGTTAGTCAGGGATCAAGGAAACCAGCCCAGACGGCACTGAGTCCAAAAAAAGAAGAGAAAAAAAAGCTCACAAGTTTAAAAGGAAAAAAAGACGACCCAGTCCGCACACAAACCCCGCTCCCAACGGGGCGACAGTAAGGCAAGCGTGCGAACTGAACTGCCCCCCTCTTTTGGATAAAAGGCGGGGAAAAAAAGCAGCCAGGGAACGTCTCTGCCCTGAGTCCCCCTCACACTCACAACACACACACACACACACACACGCGGGCGCGCGCCCAGTCTGTCCCAGCCTTCGGGAAGGGACAGACTGTGACAGCGAACCCGGTGCTGAGACCTAGCAACCACGCACTCTGCGTCCCAAACAGCAACTGCTGAACGCGCCCGCGCGCCGGCTAGACCCCCAACCCCTGCCGCCCCGCCCCTTATGACGTCAGGTGGCGTCGGCACGCCCGTCGCCGGGCTCGCCCGGGTTGTAGGAAGGGAAGCGAGGGGTCCGGAACCGGCCGGCGTCGCCCGCGCAGCCTCCCTTGCTCCTCGCCGGCTGTCAGCTCGAGCCCCGCCCCCTTAGCCTTCCAATGGGCTCTCGGCCCCGCCCCGCCCGTCCCCCGCTTCCGCCGTCGCAGCGCCGCGTCCCCTTTGCCCTGTAATTTTCCTTTTGCCGGCTTTTAGTCCTCACTGTGCTGCATTAGGTTTTTCTTGCTCCTTTCTCGCTCAGAGTTCAGCCCTCCACCCGAGCCCTTTAATCCCTTTGTCCCCGCGGTTACAAGGAACAGTGGTTGTGTTTAGGACCCAATGGGTACGTTAAAAAAAAAGCGTGCCGTTGAATACAGGTTTAGGCCAGGGTGGCTGGTGGGGATGGAAGGAAAAAAAAACAGTCGGGGATGGGTCCTCATTCCTAAAGCTGGAATTTTAGCCCAAGAAGGGAACTGTAAATCAACTTAACCACTTCTTTTTAAGCATATTTAAATTGAGGTCCGGAAGGGTGGGGTAGTTTGCTGAAGGTCAACCAGGAACTTGTGAGCAAGCAGGACTTCAGCACAAATCATCTGACCTGCTCTTGCACTTTTCACTCTAACACTAGGCAGGTAGATAGTAGTTAAATTCCTTTACAAATTTATTTTTCCTTACCCTTTCCTTCTCATATTATATCCCTTTCCCAATTTTCTCTGTCCTTTTTTTTTAATGGGCAAATTTTTAGAGCCGTTTTGGATTCATAGCAAAACTTAAAGAAGAATGCAGAGATTTCCCGCATATCCCCACTCCCACACATTCCTAGCCTCTCCCATTATCAGTATCCCCCCACCCAGAGTGGTACATTTGTTACATGTGATGAACCTACATTAACACATCATTATGGCACACAGTTTATAGTTTACCTTAGGGCCCACTCTTGGTGTTGTATGTTTTATGGGTTTGGACAAATGTGTGATGACTTGTATCTACCATTATAGTGTCATACAGAGTAGTTTCACTGCCCTAAAAATCTGTGTGCCACCTATGCATCCTTCCCTCTGTCCTAACCCCTGGCAACCACTGATCTTTTTACTGTCTCCATAGTTTTGACTTTTCCAAAAAAAAAAAAAAGAATAAAAAGTTTTCTTTATCTCTTTACCTCATGTAGTGAAAAGGGGCGTGTCCTCTAGAAACAAACCTGGGCTCGGACACCTTACGGTGTCACCTTTAGGACACTTAAACTCTGTAGTCATAATTTAATAATCTGAAAAATAAAAGGATGCTTGCCTCAGAGAATTACATCGGATCAGAGATAATTGTCTGACTGGTGCCTAGGAAATAATAAATATTCAATACATATTTCCCCTATTTTTTATTATTAAGGAAGAGAAAAACAATAATAGCTTAAACTGTGATTACTTAATCCTTTCAACAATCCTATGCTAATTTTTATCCCCATTTCACAGATGATGAAACTCACCAGAGACCACATTGCTAGAGAATGGCTAACTAAACCCGGTTTTGAATCTAGGCAATCTTGACAACCACCCCCCCCCAACCAGAGCCCTCCAGCTTAAAGGTAATTTTTTTAGACTTAAATTGCAGTGGTAGAATTAAACGTTTTAGCAGTAAAATATATCTGCAGGGCTTTAAAGAATCATCTAATTAACTTTGTGATGGTAACAGAAATGTTGAGAAGAGTCAGAGAATTTGCATGGCAGAAGCCTTAATTTTTTCTTGATTCCTAACTGAGTATTTTTAGATCAACCACCACTTCCCAAACATCTGCAAAGAAGTGGCATAGATATAATACAGCCTGAGAAGAGTTTCAGAGATAACCACATTAGCAGGAGAGACAAGACATTCTTAAGGAAGCAGAAGCTTCCATTTCATGGACAAATAAGGCCCAGAGAGCCAAAAACACTGATGTAATGCTGGGAAGTAGTGTAAAATAATATTATAAATATGATTTCAACATCAAATAAAACAAATGATGAAGCATGTCAGTTAATGGCAGAACCACATCCAACCTCAGGGCTCCCAAAGACTCCCACTTAAGATCAGAAGCTCTGATGCTACCAAGTTTATCTAGCAGCGCTTGTTGCTTCGTTTAGATTTTCCTCAAAGCTATATTCTTCAACACAGGCAAAAACATTCTCACAGAAGCAGTATTTAACCAACTGAGCCACCCAGGCATCCCTCACAAAAGAAATATTTAAATCAGACCCTTTTTTTTATTATTTAAAGATTTGACGAGATCTTAAAAAGATTAGCAAAGATAGGAGACCAATTAAGAATGTTGAGCACAATTGTGGCCAAGAGTTTGGACAAAGCAAGTTGGCCACTCCTTGCACCCTCAATCATTTGTTTCCAGAAAGGAGATTAGAGAGGGCTGCTCAGACTTATTTTACTGACATTTATAAAGAGGAACCAGGAAACCAAGCCCCACAAAAGCAGAAGCTGATGCTCAGCAGCCCAGCCCTGCCCTAACCCTATAGGAGAGAACTCAGCCAAACATCTACTTCCTCCCCTACTAACTCAGCTGTTCTCAGAAAGGAAATGGCAACCAAGTGCTTTCTCATTCACCAAAACTAAAGACAACCTTGAAAAACAAAATGGTGTGGACAGTGCAGGAACTCTTCAATCCAGACCAGTTGGTTTCAACTAACCCCAATCACTCCTCAAGGGTGGTGGTCAATAAAAAGAGAAAGGAGATGTCTAGAAAAGCAACTGTTGCCACTCAATCATTCCTAATATACAATTCAGCAAAATAAACAAAGAGATCCCTGCTCACTAGGCCCAGCCAGTTAGGTCATAATGATTATACTGCTGATTCTTTACTACATTCACAAGATTACTTCATGGTCTTCTTCCTTCTAAGACTGTTGTTCTTCAAGCCTTCCTCATTTTCAGAGACCAAACATAAACCTATGAGGTAATGAGAGGATTATGGCCAGAACCTCAACATCACTATCCTGTGTGAAAAAAAAAAGTTTGGCGAGATCCAGTACAATAAGAAGGGTATCCATCAGAATCCTAGACATAAGGGTCTGGTTATCTGCATCCTCACTGATAAAGGTTTTCCCGTAAATTTTGCCACCATCCACTACCCATGCTCACTGCCACGTTCTGGTTTCTGGGATCACAAAAATCATTTTCACTTTTGTGGCACTATCCATCTATTCAAAACTATTACAACGTCAGTTAAATAGCTGACCAAGTTCTTTTTGAAACTAAACATCATGTGTGGTGAAACTAACAATAAAAAATTAACAAGAACTACAGTGTTCTCACATTACAGAGGTAATCTACTTTGTAACATAATTGGCTAGGTCAAAAAGAAATGGCCTTTTCTTAATCTTCTTAAAAAGATTTAACCAAAAGTCTCATAGGTAATGTTTAGTAATATTTGCAACATAGCCACACAAATCATCCCTATAATGGTAAATGCTAATACACACTGAGCCTTTGCTATGTGCCAGGCATTTTATACTTATAAGCAGCTGATACTTATTAATATATTATTGAATAATTAATATTTTGGAAGTGAATTTTCTCATTTTATGGTAAGTTACAGAGCTGGGATTTAAAACCAAGTGTTAACATGAAATAACTTTTTCTATAAAACAGGCTATTTGCACGTACAAGTGCACTTCTTTGGTTATCCTAGTGGGTAATTGGATTTTTTTGACAGCTTTGTAGTTCACAGTGATAAGTGCAACACCAGGTTATTTAATCCCTAATGTCTAATTGTGGTGGGGGCAGTGAAGTCCGCTGGTGAGGAATAACTTTGTAGTTTCTCTTGGGAAGAAATGCATCCATCCCTAAGTAGGTTAATTCAGCTCAGCTACATTATCTTTTTAATGATAGTGTGAAGAACTTTGGTTTCCGTGTTCTAAAAACTTTCTTTCAAGTGCACCATACATCTAACTAGCTGCCTGAATTTATTGTTTATTCAGCTGAGAAAACAAAATATTAGTGGCAACTGAACTAACTCAGAATGAATAAAACAAAATTATTTCTTTATTGGCAGATTTATCTCATTGGAGTATGTATCATAATCATCATACTTAAAGAGATATTGTAGAGAAGGCTATAAATCACACGTCCAGAGAGCTGACCCAAGTTCTGTAGGGTCAGAAGTCCTTTCCATACTGTGTGTCTAGATGATGAAAAAGAGTTACTTGCACTGTTTGCTGATGTTTCTCATTGTCCTATGTTGCTATAGAGGGAGTGTTCATGTGCCACCCCAAATTCCTGTGTTGTAATCTAATCCCCAATGTAAAGTGGAATTTGGAGATAGGGCCTTTGAAAAGTGATTAGATAAGAAGGTGGAGCCCTCTTGCATGAGATTGGTGCCCTTAAGAAAGAGACCCCAGGAGCTCCCTCACCCCTTCTGCCATTAGAGGACACAAAGAAGACGGACATCAGTGAACCAGGAAGCAGGCCCTCATCAGACACCGAATCTGCCAGTACCTTGATCTTGGACTTCCCAGTCTCCAAAGAAGTGAGAAATAAATTTCTGTTGTTGATAAGCCACCCAATCAATGGTATTCTGTTAAAACAGCCCAAGTAGGCTAAGACCATATGTAAAAATAAATAAATCAGTGATAATTTTAAAAACCAATTCTCAGGCACCTGGGCGGCTCAGTCGTTAAGCGTCTGCCTTCGGCTCAGGTCATGGTCCCAGGGTCCTGGGATCGAGCCCCGCATCGGGCTCCCCACTCAGCAGGAAGCCTGCTTCTCCCTGTCCCACTCCTTCTGCTAGTGTTCCCTCTCTCGCTGTGTCTCCCTCTATCAAATAAATAAATAAAATCTTTAAAAAATAAAAAAATAAAAAAATAAAAACCAATTCTCCTGCTTTCAGAATCCTGTTCCTTAATGTGCTCTAGTTGGCCCGACAAGAAGCATGTAAC